TGCCATGTGCCAAATCATATGGGGGATGGATGGAGGGAGAAGAACCAGAAAAACACATTAAAAAGTGAGGTTGGGAGGAGGAGAAGTAAAATTCCAAAATAATTAACTTAAGCTAAATGATTTCCAAAATTATTTCCAAAATTAAAAATCTTAATCTTCACATCTTCGTTCCACTTCAGATTTTCCACTTTTTGCCTCATTCAGAGATTTTGGGGGGAATATTTAAGGGGAGGGATCTGGTATTCCAAAGAGGTTAATAGCAGCTAAAATTCTATCCTCATGCTGATGGTGTCGGATCCTGCTCACTTTTGCTTCCCCAAAACAGATCTTTTCTGTATCAGCCTTTCACAACAATGTTAACTCCTCAAAACAAAGGGAGTTGTTAAGCACCAGTGCTATCGTACTGTGCACTCAGATAAATAAACTATTTTATTTCCAACAACAAAGTTAGTGTGACAGGAACAGAGCAGCAGTTCCAGGCACCACGTTCTTGCAGCAAGAGGTGGATTAGATCAAGCCCAACAGAGATGGAGACACGGCACCAAAAACTGGAAAACCTGAAAATTTCATGATTCATAAAGTCGATCGCTTAGCAATAAACCCCGTCAATTTAATTCCATTTTTTCTGCATTGTAAATGTGCATTTTGCTACTTAGTGATCCCTAGTGCTAACTTACTCCTGCCATACTGTCCCGGGACATACATGCTGGTCCACTGAGCTGTGCTGCTTTCAATGGAGCAGATCCATCTTGCTGACTAGAAGCAGATTCTCGCCGCTGAAGTTCATGAGCCACGGCACCATCTGGCATGGTGCAGGCCACCTCCTGTGCTATCAAGACAAATGCTCCTCGTTACTTTAAAGATATTACCTGGAAAATACTAGCAGCAATAATTTCAGACTAGCTCTTCCTGCCACAGCAAACAAAAGGACTGAAGTTCAACAGCTGTGGCAAAAACCAAAATAAGGATGTATATTTGCAGAACTACACCTCAGGAAGAAATGTGAACAGCTAATAAGTTCAGGTATTTACTTACTTTGCAAAAAAAGAAAAAGAAAAATCACACATTATGGCAAGTAACTAGCTTCATGACTTATTCTATTTTTATCCTATATAATAACAAAGAACTTAGTGACAAAAAGCTGTAACAAGAACTATTGTTTCCTTGCTTTCCATTCTTTTTCCTACTCAAGGTCTTTATGTCTGATCTCTCATTTTTAAGGCTCCTTTTTCTGCAGAATTTTACAGAAGCCATTTGGGGATGTACTTCAGAGGAGGCAAAAGTTTATCTTCTACAGTAGAACCACAGGACCATGCACACTAGATGCAGTAAAGAAAACACACCCAGAAAGCCCTGGAAAGATCCCCAAAGGAATCTCTTAATAAGCTGTACACTTCATTAACTAAACTCTCTGATTCCAGTAAGGACGAATCTTATAGCAATAAAGTAGAGTTTCTCGGTTATATTAGAGGAATAATAAATACCATCATATCAAACTGCAAAACATATTGTGGAAATATTAAGGCTATTTTTCCCTCAAGGTGGAAAAAATGTGTAATTCCTTTCCGTTACATTTGTTTAGAACATGAGAAAGCTTTCTAATATTACCAATGATAATAATATTATTAATACTTCCATAATACTGATGGTATTACAGAGTGTAAATTTCCCAGAGTATTATCCCAAGACTATAGCTCCAAAATATCATCTGGTCAGTGTCTAACACTGTCACTCCAAATTCTGTTGCAATCTAATAACAATCAGATTAATTTCCCTAAATGAAAATACTTTTAAGATGAAATGTTTAAAGTGTTCAAAAAAGAAAAAGACAGAAACAATTGCTGGGCTAAGTGAGAGAACAAGTTAAGACTCAGAAGAGCAGCTATTTACTCACATATCAACTTCCCATGTTTTGATAAATTCCACAGACTTTCTGGAGAAAGAAAATTCTGTATAAAAGAACTTACTACTATTTGTGAGAAAATTTAAGCTCTCAAGGACCTCCTGTTTTCCAGTTGATTACCAAAGAGCCCAAAGCACAAGAAAGCATCATCTTCTTAGCAAAGGGGCATACAGGTTTCTAACCATATTCAAATATCCAACTATACATACAGAAAAAAAAGAGATTATTGTACAGGAGGAAGCATACTGAAATAAATTTAGAAATCTGGTATATATCACTGTAGACTAAGGCTGGGTCTAAAGCATTATTTTATGTATAACTGTCGACAATCTTTCAAACAAAAGCTGGATGATCCAAGCATTAGGAACGGCTTAACAGTATTAGAGCACAAGCTGAAGAGTCAGTCTTTAACTCTAATCCCATTAATAAGCACAGATCCTAACTTTATATAGGAAAAGTAGCCCACCTCTACTGGGTATGTGTGAATAAATCATACATCACATTAAAACTAAAAAATCATTCAAACACAAGTCAGAAATGAGCAAAATATCAGCTGCAATCGGATGACAGCGCGTGGTCATATAGAAACATTATCAAAATTAGACATTAGGTAGTTGAGATCAGACACAACCAACTTCTGCAAGCTTTAGAGATTTACATGTTTGAAAGTCTTTTCTCTGTTAATTTAAGATTGGGAAAATTCTTGCAAAAAAAGGAATGAAAATGTAGACATGCAAAATACACCATCTTTGTAAAAATGTCATTAAGCTTATTCAGAAACATGACATCTTAAAGAGTCTGGATGTCTCATTAGTATGTGTCTTACTGAAATGCCAACAAGGAAAAGTAGGTTATCAAATTAAAATGTTAAAGGATAATCCGAGTTCAAATAACCATAGTCAAGAGTACTTTTTTCCCTTGTTTATCTTACCAAAGGATTCCTCGCATTGGATAGACCTGCAAGACTGCTGAAATATTTAAGCTAACAAGATACACGTAGCACTTCAACAAGCGCTCACTCCAAAGCTGATGTCCAGTAATGATCAAGTTATATTAATGCTGGAAATGCATGGGGGGCTGGAAGACTGATATAGGGGGTTGTATGGCAGGACTGCATTTTTCTCTGGCAAAAAGGATGGATTCAGACTCACAAAGATGATACTGCATGGACATTCTCATGTCCCTGCACCACGAGGAAATTATTATTATTATTATTATTATTATTGTGTGTGTGTATATATATATATATAAATTATTCTTAGCTAGAATAAAAGAAAAGGGGTAACTACGTCGAACCTGAGCAACAATAATCCACTCCTAGAGCAGTGCTCATTTCATCCATCAAAAATGTGGACTAGAACTGCTGAAAATCCCATGCTTCAGATTTGCTGCAGTGTTCCTGGAGTGTTTTTAAAATGCAGACCTTCAACTGGAATGAAAATGACAAAAACTGAATTAAGAGCTAGGAAACATCTGCATCTTTTAAAGTTGACTCCAGTACTATCCTTAAAAACTTGTTTCTCTCATATCCTGTGTAGAAAGTATAATGAGAAATCTTTATGTTCACTGTTTAAAAAAAAGGTTAAAAGTTGCTAGTAAGATTTAATATTTGCATTTTGTTGCTTGTAATTGATTTTTTTCTTTTTATTTTGATATTTTAAATTCCAAACGCACAGATTCTTCAAATTAGAGACAACAAAAAGACCTCATGTCATCCATTTAATATAGAACATCTTCCTCACTGGTCCTCAGCCAAATAATGGAAAGACTGCCAGGACAAGTCTTTGCAAAATATAAATTCACGTATGTGACAAAGCAAACCTGCTCTCCACCTTTTGCAGAGCAAGGCACAAACAGGGCAAGCTGAATTATGAAATGCTTAACGATAATTACCGAAGAGTGTCAACTGGAAAAAAATAATGAAGTCACACAGCACATTTCCATGCCGTAAGCACCTTTAAATGAACTCACGAGCAGTCAAGATTAAGCTGAAATATAATGCAAGGTTTCCTGTGAAAACCCAGTTCAAAGAAGGGATTTCACTATTCCGTATCGATTTCCATTACTGCTAATTCAAAGAAGTCCCGATTCTTTTTTTCTGGGACATTTATACAGTACTATCTAATTATATAGTCCATCAACCTAATTCAATTAAATAATAATATAATCATGTGTAAGAAACAACTGAGATATATGCAGACAATTTTAGTAGTACTAATTATATTCTAATTTTTATAATCCATCATAATGAGCCTTTATTTCCATTCTCAGAAGGGAGGACAGTATGTAGGTTAATATTTATATTGTGTGTCATACTATCTTTATAGAGGAAATCATTGAGTATGAATTAAAACACAAGTAGAAAACTCAGCATACAGCCAAGCTTGATTTTAAGTTTAAACTGGAGTATTTTATGTTCTAATAATTCTACAATATCCTAATTAAAACTGCAGAAATATTCTAGAAAAGCTGCATCCAACTGCATTCCTTATTACTCACTACTGCATTTTTACAGTAACTACAATCTTTTAAAAAGATGCATATAAAAAAGGAATGTTTCATTATTCAAAAAGGATATCAAAAGGGATTTTTACTAGTAAGCTGCTTAATACAGTAGTTTATCTTCAAAGAACTCTGCTGTACTAACTAGTAAAGCAGTTCAGAACATACTGCAGCACACAGAAACATCCAGCATTTCTACAGCTGGTAAAATTTACCTTTTGATCAAACAGAGGGGTTATAAATAACCCACCTCCATTTTGCTCCCCAGCTATATCTATCTCTACACAGGAAAGGGATTTTTTTTGGACTCAAGAGAAATCAACTGAGATACAGCTTAAAAGATTACAAAAAGTCAAACTCATAAGGTCAAAAGGGATTTAGACCAAAATTTTATGTCAGCTCGTACAAGGGAATTTCAGTTAATTTGTGGTTTTAACATGTATTCAACACGAGTATTCGCATGATAACAAAAAGGTCTTACTTCCCATTTCTTCCTGAGGCAAGTGTTTCAACTGCTTACAACGGGCAGATAAAGAGTAATAAAAGTATAAAGCTATATTTGTGTTTTAAATATTATCAACACACACAAACAAACCTTCTCTTTTGGGCTTCTGAATCCCTCCTTGCTCGTTCTAGCGCCAACTCTTCAGCTATTCTTTTCTTTAGCTCTTCTTCATTAACTGCAATTAAAATAAAATTATAGGGAAGGTTAATAGAACACAACATATTTCTAATTACAAGAAAAAGAATCACAGAATTGTGTTCTATTACATCAATGTTCTTATTTCTATAAGACAGCCAAGCACCTTTCTGTGATTTAAACACCTTTCAAATGTTGATATACAGCACTATAAAACTTTCAGAAATTACTATTAAATTTTTCAAAGTTTCTTTCAAATATGGAAAAAAAACACAAAATATATCAAATTAAATATATCCTCCACATAATAAACATACCTTTATAAATGAAAATCTGGAGGAAACCTGGAACCTCATTAATGAGGTCTCAAACTACTACTTCTTATTCATATGGAATTGATGGAAATATGTTCTCATGTATTTCTTCAAGTATTTTCATATGCACATTTTGGTCCTCACAACAGAGCATTTACAACACTGCAGATAGCAATACTTTCAGCTTCTACTGCTTAGAGAAAACTCGTTTGCCTTAATTGCTTCTAATTTCGTTCGAATAAGCAGACGGGGAAAAAGTCTTTTCTTCATTGAGGCTATTTTAAATGAATGAGCCCAAAGTCTGGCTAGGAGCAGAGAAAGGAGAGAAGCAAAGAAATTCTCTTCCAAACGAGGAATTAAACTTTTCCACACAAGTGCAGGAAAGCCGGAGACCTGCTAATTCTACAAGTTTGAAAGACACAACTGCGACTGCAAAAACTCATTTAATAAGATTTTCAAACACACATAAAAGGTCCATTCCCAACTCATTTTGACATTCAAGCAGTTAGTCAGGCAACTTACTAATACTTAATGTCGAGTGGGATCGGCGTAATTCTCTTCATTTACAGGTAGCTGTTTTTGAAAGAATCTGACTCAAGCAGATGAGAAACCCAGCTATTGCTTCCTTTGAAGCGTATTTTATTGCTGTAACTTCTATTAATCATTTCCCTAAGAAACCACATTGAAAGGTTGTTTCAACCTGAAAAAACACTTTCGCCTATTTCTACATCCATCTACATGCAACTTGACATCTACACAACAGAAATCAAAAAGAGGGAGAAATCCAGTATATAACAGCCCTACTTTCCATTTGGGAAAAAAACATTATCCAAAATTATGCAATGTTGGTGGAAGAGCTGGAGCTTTGCACCAAGTGTTGATTTGCAGCAGTCAGCAATGGGGAGTTTGGTTTAGGAGGAAAAGACACCTCCTGAAGTGCACAGAGAATGAGATTAAAAGCAAGTAATTATAGCCACGTTTCTTACCAGTATAAACTTCAGTTTAGCTCCAGCTCACACTAGCCAAGCTGGACCACACTAACTCTGGGGTATTCTAGTACTCCAGTGCCAGAGGGATATCTTCTTTGGATACAGCATTTGACTTTAACACCTTTCACAAATTCTACTATATAGGGCTATAAAGGCACGTAGTCAAGCTTCCAAATCATTAATGGGCATCACTTAAGCAGAAAACAGACATTAAATGCACACAGGTGAAGCAACTCCCTGCTTTGCATTCAGAAACATGAACAAAAACACTTGTTCAGGTAACTAAAACAACTCAAAAACTACATTTTGAGGCAATGTAAGACAACAAGCAATTAAAAATAAGCAGTCGCCTCAGCCCTCCCATTTGTGCTAGGTATTTGTGCACGGAGGGAGCATTAAACAACTGTCAGTAGCCAGATGCTCGTGGAGGCCCTGGAGCAGCACTGTGAGCCTCCGTTCCCAGAGCCAAAATGCTTAAATTGTTAGGCCAAAGAGTGGGACCTCTGGCATTTATACCCTCCTTGGATGGAAGGACTGCAGGATTTGAGTCCATGTATGTCCATGTATTCACAGATTCACAGAATATTTAAGGTTGGAAGGGACCTCTAGAGATCTTCTAGTCCAACCTTCCTGCTCAAGCAGGCACACCTAGAGCACGTGACACAGGGTAGCATCCAGGCGGGTTTGGAAAACCTCCAGAGTAGGAGACTCCACAACCTCCCTGGGCAGCCTGTTCCACTGCTCTGTCACCCTCACAGTAAAGAAGTTGCTCCTCACCTGGAGACGGAACTTCTTGTGCTTCAGCTTGTGGCCATTACCCCTCGTCCTGTCGCTGGCCACCAGTGAGAACAGCCTGTCCCCTTCCTCCCTGCATTCTCCCTTCCTGAACTTAGACATATTAATCATATCCCCTCTGAGCCGTCTCTTCTCCAGAGAAAACAGGCCCAGCTCACTCAGCCTCTCTTCATACGAGAGATGTTCCATTCCCTTAATCATCCTGGTTGCCCTTCTCTGGACCCTCTCCAGAAGCTCCACGTCCCTCCTATACTGGGGTGCCCAGAACTGCACACAGTACTCCAGGTGCGGCCTCACCAGAGCTGAGTAGAGGGGCAGAATCACCTCCCTTGACCTGCTGGCAACACTCCTCCTGATGCAGGCCTGAATCCCATTGGCCTTCTTGGCCACGAGGGCACACTGCTCACTCATGGTTAACTTGGTGCCAACCAGGACTCCCAGGTCCCTCCCCGTGGAGCTGCTTTCCAGCAGGTCGACCCCTAATCTGTACTGATGCCTGGGGTTATTCCTCCCCAGGTGCAGGACCCTGCACTTGTCCTTATTGAACCTCATGAGGTTCCTCTCTGCCCAACCAGTATTCCAGTGAAGTGCAACATCAGCTCGGTCTCCAGAAGAGGAACGTGTTTATATCGGGCAGCTCTTATCAAACTCCCCCTACACGTCAGCAAATGTCACAGGACAAAATCAGAGCAGTTCAGGTTCTGCATTTGCACACTTTGAAATAATTAAGCTGTCACAAAGCCATAGAATTTATTTCAGATGGCAACTACCTTACAGAACAACGTGAAAAAGCAGCATCAGAGGCTGCAATTCCATTCAAGCCAGATACTTCAATATTTCATATCCTTTCAATGCTGCGCTTGAGAATACATGAAATGCTGCTTCAGTACATTGCTCGCTAGCATTTATGTCGTGAACTTTATTGTTCTGATGTGCAAAAATGAGTAAAAAAAGTTCAGCAGACCATAGCGTGACCCTTTAAGATGTAATAAGATGTAAAATTCAGGCATCAGCCAATAAAGACATAGACCATTTGACCTTAACAATCAATTAGGTTACACATTGATCAGCCCAGTACTAATAGGGAATAAAAGCAGAGCTATAGATTATCCAATAGAATTATTGTAAGATATAATTGGGTAGCTCCCAAATGAGAAATTTATGAGGTTTCAGTAAAAACTGCAATTGTACAAGCACAGGGGAATTGTTCTAGGAGAAAAGACATTTAAAGAAAAGTTAATTTATTAGAAAAATCAGAATTGATTCTAGGCGAAAGGCAATAAAAATCCCCTGTGATAGGATTTTAAGTCAGACTGCATGATACTAAAAACAGACACCTAACAACAGTTATTAGTGAATGTTAGAATAAGACAGGCACAGGACTATTCAAATTATCAGGATCTGGAGGCAGTAAATATACAGCAGTCACCGAAATTATTTACCTACCTCCACCCCCCCCAACCCCCCCTCCCCCCACAAACACACACTATTTTAACCTCTTCGCCCCATCCCAGGATGGCTGAGGCTGGAAGGGACCCCCAGGGCTCCCCCAGGGCAGCCCCTGCTCCAGCAGGGACACCCAGAGCACGGGGCACCCGGGCGCATCCCGGCGCGCTGGCAGATCTGCAGAGCAGGAGCCTCCGCAGCCTCCCTGGGCAGCCTGGGCCAGGGCTCGGGCACCCTCCCACCAAACAAGCTCTTCCTCACGGCCACGTGGAGCTGCCTGCGCTGCAGCTTGGCCCCAGGGCCCCTTGGCCTGCCACTGGCCACCACCCACAAGAGCTTGGCCCTTCCTCCCTCCATCCTCCCCTCGGCTGCTTGCACACACTGACCAGCTCCCCTCTCGGCCTCCTCTTCTCCAGCTCAACAGGCCCCGCTCGCTCGGCCTCTCCTCACACCACAGCTGCTCCAGGCCCTTCCTCAGCCCTGTCGCTCTGCGCTGGCCCCTCTCCAGAAGCTCCACGTCCCTCTTGTCCTGGGGAGCCCAGAACTTCAAGATTCTTAAATCTGTGCAAACCTCATTTTAAGTGTGTGCCAGGGCATACAAACTTGAAAGATTTTTTGGTAATTATTATTATTTAAGAAGATCACCCTCACATCCCAGGTCTTCAATACGTTCCCTCTAAAAGGGCCTAAAGTGAAGGCCACTTTCCTGCTTCCTCAGTGTGAACAGCCTAATGCACTGTTCATATTGCAAGACAATTTAGATAGATGGCCAGTAATGGGAACTCTCCTGAAAAAGCCACCGTGCAATAACCAGAAATCACTCTGCTTTCTTAGCATGTGAAGTGGGGATCCTGATGGGCGTCTGATGAGCGTTATTCTCCTCCAGATAATGGAAACAAGAACACGAGCAGCAGCACAGGCCGGATCTAGCAGCAGGGGCAAAGGGATTAAAGTGACCGAAGTGCTGCAGGAAACAGCGCTGCACACTCAATATATATTTTTATGCATCTCTTTTCATGCACAAATATATATTTCTGCCCACTCCTTTGGGAAGGTTTGAAAGATAGTCGTTTATGTCCAGTATTACAGTGCAAATGCATCGTGCGTTTCCTGCCCCCACGAACAGAAAGCATTTTTAAGAAAAATTCACCAAATGGTATTTAGTCTAATCAGACTCTTTAGGAGACATTTCCATGCACTTGAAGGACAAGATAATACATATGTTCAGTCAGATGGGGTAGGGGAGCTTCTTTTACCTTTAAAGCAAAGCATTAGAGCAACGTTGGAACAGGACAAGAAGGGCAAAAACAAGGCAAGAACACAAAGCCTTAAGTTAGATCCAGTGCACATCCACTGGCCAAAAACTACCTTTTAACAGCCATTCCCATTGGAAAGATGACAGGCAACTTCCAAAAGAATAAAAATTATAAAACTGCAGAGCATTTTCTCCACTTTGCTATCAAATCATTTCAGGCAACCACACGTCTTTCAGATGG